TTTTGTTGAAGTGATGTTTTACTATTATTCATGAAGCTACCTGCATGCCAACAAAAACTGTTGTTGCACTGAGATCCACCGGCAGTTTTAAATCCTGCTCATATTCACCAATATCTAAGAACATTAACTTTCATATGATCAATGAAACAGAGATAACTGAAATGTCCAATAAAACCTGCAACAGGAATCCCACTCCTATAAGAAGGCCTCCCAAGCATGCTCCAGCCAAATCCACCTATGAAACTTCTGGTATTAATGTCAAATAGATGAAAGAATAAAAGAAAAATATAGTCGACATTCTAACCATTAGAAGTGGCCTTCTTCCAAATTTATCCATCAAGAGAACCCCTAAAACAGAAAACGGAATCTGCAGAAAATGCTAACATGTCGTGAAATACACATCAAGCAGATGCCTTATAAATAATCCACATTCAAGCTTGAGTACCTGAATAAAAGACATAGTCGTAGTTGCAATACCAACATTGCAACCTGTCATCACCTGAAGTTTAGTTCTCTTAACACATTACGTGCATGTCGTATCAATTTTCTCAGTGTACCAAGTAATACACCATTGACTAAAGGGTGAGCAGAGAAAACAATTTAGGAAATTAATTTCTCAAGTCGAAGTCTTTTATATTTCTGGATCAAATTAATCCAGACTCTAAATTTACCTGCAGTATCAAATATCGAGCTTGCGTATAATAAAACTCCATTACTGCCTCCCCATGGTAGCAGGAAAGATAGTCCAACTCCAATCTGAAAATATATAACAAGAATTAGGAAGATAGGACATGTTAATAACTGTTGCAGGCCCTTCTCAGATTGAACTGCTGGAGCTCACACTGACTGGACGGGCATATCTCGTCTCAAGCAACTCCTGAAATCTAGAGATTGGTTGCTTATATAGAGATTGGTTGCAGTCCTACAAGATCCCAAGTTCGTTATAGTTTCACCAGCTATGAATGGGTAACAGAAATGGTAATGCCTTTTCTTCTTAGTTCAATTAAGAGATTCAGTTTCTAAAATGTGATGTCTACAAATTACCTGTATCTCAGCGGCTTCTTGAGAGATATCAGTTTCCTTACCTCTAAGCCATTGAAGACTTGCTTCTAGCTCTTTTTGTCGACCAACATTTGCCTACAGGGAACAAATCATGTAATCAGCTAACAGAGCAAGTATGGAAACAAATATGGTACTCGATTTTCAACCCTTTTTCCTTTGCAAGTAAGTTAATAGTTTGGACTATTAGTAAAAGCAATCAAAGAAAAAGCAAACCTGGTCAGCAGGACAAAGTAAAAGTTAACAAAAAGAAAGGAGAGGCAAAATTCTAAGAAATTTCTTCGAAGAACACATTGAAAATTGTCTTCCTTCGTCTCTAAAATTCTTTTATAACTTCATTCCGACAAGTTTTGATGCCATAGCATAAACACCAAGGTCTAGTTTGTTTACAAAAGAAATAGTTGTACTCTTTTTTCTCGTCTAAAAACTTCAGTTCAAAATCTATTGTTCTTTATCCCAGCAGAAATGTTTTATGACCTATTCTATCATTTTACACAACAGAAAATTGGGAATAGAAATATAATACGTGATAATCGGCATCTCATTGTGCTAAAAACTCATAAATTTTTCTGTCAGGGATTTCCCCACATTTGGTTACTCGGTCCTGAACAAAGCACGATATTACTATGGCTTTTGCTTTGAATGGAAGGATAGGTAATTATGTGACTGTTGTCAAATTCTTTACTTTTTACTCTCTCCTATTTCTTTACATCAATCAGCAAAGGAACTAATTGCGAATATCAAATAAAACGCACCAACCATCTAGGAGACTCGGGAACAAAGAATAACCCAATGAGTTGTATGATACACGGTATGGTTCCTGGAAACATGACGCAAAGAAATTGTTAAAAGTACGCATGCAATTTGTCTAATAGGAAAAATAAGTAAATGCACTGACCAACATGACTTCAGCTTATAAAAGTGACAGACAGTAGAAAGCAACATTACCAATTAAGGCTAGAAAACGCCATGGAATGATGTTCCCGAAGGAAAACATCACAGCGATGCCCGCACATGCCATGAACTGTGAGTTTATAGAAAATGCAGTTAGGAGAGGTATTGCTTCTTTAAAGAACATCTTACTTTTTCAGTTTACCTGACTTGCCATTGTGAATCCTCCCCGAATATTTGGTGGTATGGTTTCAGCAAGATATACGATAGACTGTGAACCAGAATAAAAGTGGGTCTACGTATGAAAGGAACTGATAAACAAAAGGATAATAGCTTGATAAACTTGCTTCAATTACCACATAAGTTTGAACTCCAGTGCTGAATCCCAACAACAGTCTTCCTACTATGAGCCACCACACGCCCTGTGAAAGTTGAATTGTTAGTGCTTTCCTGATTTAGTATATGCTTACTTATTCCTTTTTAACTTTTCCTCTCTAATAATAGACATCTCATGGAAATGTTATAATCTACAGCGTTTAATTAATTTGTTTGCTTGAATCTGGCAATGTAACCTTTTGAAGACATCCTTGCAGATTTGTTCTTTTGCAATTGCACCGTAATATGATATTTACCTCAACAACTTCAGTTGCAGTTTTTTTTTTATTCACTTTTCCCATCCATTACAATATCTATTGGCATATTATCAACAGTCTATTGTGCTATGAATTGTTTCTGGACCAGTTTACAAAGAAAATAAGGTAGTTTCTGAAATAATCTTTTTCAAGTCTTAAGAAATCCAAACCACTAGAATATTGAGCTTTATCATACGTATACCCTAAAACAACTTCTGACAGACGTGCTTAATCTTGACAGAATAAATAAAGGAAAACGTGTTAATTGTCAATTCTAGGACAGAAGAAATGAAGGAACCTTTGCAAACGCAATTGCTAGCCAACCAATGATGAGAAGTAGTTCAGCAAACCATAATGCCTGCACCCAAAGGGGCAGAGTTGAAATACTAGTTTCATCTGCATTGAGAATGATGAATCTCCTCATAATTAATACTTCTTAAATTAGAACTTAACAAACTTACGCCTCTTCGACCAATGATGTCAGCTACTTTGCCGCTTATGATTGCACCCAACATGGATCCAAATAACAACAATGACCCAAAAGTCGAATACTGAAAATGCAATGGGCGATGAGAAAAGGTCACAAACCAGCAAGAGAAGGAATATTGACAGGAGCACTAATGTTGCGTTACTGTTCAAACAGATTTGCAGCATAATAAGCAGCTAATCTGTACTGAGCAATGCTTTTATATTCAAAACAGAGTTGATGTCGATGGTTAATGGTTTTGCAAGGGGATAAATCCTTATACACACTAATACCTATTGCCTCAGATTTGATTATCAAGCTGAGAATCATGCAGAGGAAAAATGGTAAAACTTAAAATCTCAAGTTCTTGTATATACTTCTCAGTGCATCAATTTGTAAACCTTTTTTAATAAAGCTACATGAGCCTGCAATCAACAAGTTCCATGTGGAAAGGGGTGATGTTGTTAGTACAGTAGCTTTGTGCTTCTTTAGTCATGTATACTACCAGACATCAGCACAAATAAGTTCTGTTTATTATAATTATGCTACTGGTCTCATTAACAAACATAGCCGAATAATGAGAGTGTTCTTATTGTGAATTTTGCTTTTCTTACCATCACCTCGGCATTGCCATGATTTCATCTAGACATTTTACTACTGTACTTACTATTGGTCATTATCCAGGTTTGTCTATTCACATAATACAAGCTAGCTTTGCTTTTGACAATAGCATAGCAAAGTGCATATGTAATAAATCCCATGGTTCAGGAGTTTAGGCTGTGAACCTCTGCAGTAGAAAGGCCCAAGTCATGTATGATTCCAGATTCAGCAGGAGATGAATATCCACACTGGAGAAAACAAAAGCAATAAGCAGTTAACATCGAGAGATATTGCCATTGACAGAAGAAATTTTGTAATGGCTCACGTGGGAAATTGTTAATATGTACACCTAATCATCTAAAATACATGCTCACATGTATTGCCCTTAGTATAGTCATCTTGCCGATTAAATTTCGGAAATAGGGCTACACAATTGAATTTTGTCCAATTCGAACCGGTTGATGTAATTCTTACAACTTTTGGTGTAAAATCGTACAACTTGAGTATAAAGTTGAATTTGTCAACTCGTACAACAAAGTTGGTATAAAATTCACGATTACACCAAAACTATATGAGTTTACACTAGATGTAGTAAGAATTACACGAACCGGTTTGAACTAGACAGAACTCAAACCTTGCTATGCCCTGGATCCATATATTCCACTTTTCTGAAAAATTAATTCCTAGGTCTCAATAGTGTGGCACCAGCTCTCAAGTCGTCAATAGAAATTAGGGGCTAGGTGTTGATAACACATAAGCTCCATTTCCTCTTTCACTTCCTATCTCTACTTTACCGTCTTTCAGTACCATAAAGAAGAAATTGAGACAAATAGGAAACAACATATTCAATTGTCCTGCCATTTGCCTTTAAATTTTGCAAAATTTCTTTATCCGCCAACCCAAAGCCAATTTTAATAATTGCACGCATTTTGAGGTTTACTTTAGTTGTCATAGGCTCATGATTGTAGACTCAGTAAAGTTCGAGCTTAAACTCAAGAGTGAACTTTTGGACTTCGATTGAGCTCAATGTTTGTGATCCTCAAGCTTGGCTTGGATTGGCTTGGCTTGATTGCCTTGATAACATAACGTGAAAAATACATTGATGTCAAGTTCATCACTCCAACAGTACACAAACATGAAACTACAAAGGTATGACCAAAAATTTTCACAGTGTTTATATAAGATTGGCAATGTAGAAATGTCTTGTAGAATGGTTCTTCATGATCGTAACCAAGAGTATCTGAAGGGTGACCAAAAGATAAAACAGAGTAAATTTGCAGAGCACAGAAGAGAAGTTGATACCTTCCGTTATAGAGAATGATGGTTCATGGTGTCTAAATATTATTCTAGCCTTCTATGTCATGGATGTGGACTATCAGAGTATTTATGAAAAAGGAATCATGTAGAAAATGGTGACTTCATCCTCCGAGCAGATCTCCGCCAACCAACATCCATATCAACAGCCACACTCAGATCAACTCCAGCAACCCTCCGTTACAGATACCCCTTCTTTAACAAACCATCTCCCCTGCCCGAGCATCTTACCTCCACCCCGGCCTCCCCCATATCAAAAATCCTTCAAAGACCAGCTCCTAAACTCCATACAGATTGATTTTAATAGCCCGCACCCTGCCGAAGCAACATATGTCAACCCCTCCGTTGCCGCAAACATCTCAAACCTTGCGTCTACTGTCACTGCCTCTAATACTACACTTTCCATAAGCTTTCCTGACTCTCTCCGGGAAAGACTTAGGACTCCCTGGAACCTCACTCTCATAGCAAAACCTTTGGGAAAAAGTCTGGGTTTCAAGTATTTTGATTTAAACATCAGGCGCGTCTGGAAAACTGCAGGCCCTTTCTCTACTTTGGATCTTGGTAGAGACTACTTTGCAGTCAAATTTTCAAATCCGGAAGACTTCCATAAAATTCTCACTGGGGGACCATGGTTCATCAACAAAACCTTTATCACTATCAGAAAGTGGAGCCCTTTTTTCAACGCTTTGGAAGCTATATCAAAGACCACAGCCCTCTGGATCCGACTCCCAGGCCTTCCTCTCGAATTCTATGATGCGGAAGCGCTCAGCCTTATTGGCAACAAGATTGGCAAACTAATAAAGATTGATGCTATAACAGCTAACACCGAGAGAGGACGGTTTGCTAGATTATGCGTTGAAGTGGATCTTACTGATCCCATACCCACAGCCATCGAGTTAGACAGTTACATCCAACCAATCCTAGTAGAAAACTCTTCCTTTTGTTTCGGCTGTGGCAAATTGGGCCATGACCAAGCCTGCTGCATAAAACTTCCCCTTCTACAAACTGCGGCACCGGCAAAGTCATCAGAACCGGGATGGTCACACATTCCGACCAAATCCAGGAAAATAGCTCCGGGGAACAAACGTCACCCACCTTCTAACGGTACACTTCTTTCAAATTCAAACCGCCGCTCAAAGCCCAATACTCCTGGTCAACCCAGCCAAAATACTTTTAATGCGGCCCTTTTGTCAAATCCTAAAGTCAGAACCCTTTGGAAGAAAAAACCTCTACTGTCAAACAAGAGGGATCCAAACCCTTTTTCACCTCTCAAACAGGTCATAGATCCAGATGCCTTTTCTCCAACCCCCAATAAATCCAATACCATTCACGATCCCCTCTCTCTCCATACTTTCCCTTCCACTGAACCTCTGGCTTCTACGATCTCCCAAACAAGTCGACCAGAGAATACCATTCACCAAAATGGCAAGAGCACAAATGGGTTCTCTGTTATCAAGAGCACAATTTCTCACAACCCCTCTCCCACAACCCCTTCAAAACCCACACAAACTAGGAACCGCTCTACATCTGAATCACCTCACTTGCCAAACTACTCCAAACTCCCTCTGTCTTTTTTTCGCTGATGGATTCCCGCCCTTCCACCCCATTGTTTCGCAGGACAAGGTGGTCCCCTCGTCACTTCCACCCATAGGAGGATGGCACCCAACAGAGCAGGAGCAACCCACCTTTCCAATCACTCTACAACCTTCCTCAACCCCTTCTTCCCCAAGCTCCCCAACTAAATCATCTCTATCGGGACGAGGAATGGAAACTAATTTGCTCACATCGAGTCATCGACCCACTTCTCTTCCTGAACCCACACCTTTCGTGGGAGAATGTTCACCAGTCCCAGGACCAACACAGTCTGGGAAGGATCCAGATTTGGGCAACCCAAACAAGAATTGCATACATAACAGACCTCGATCCAGAAGAGAGGATAGCGAGAAGGAACCAAGCTCTGCGAAGAGGGCGAGACGGAAGCCATCTTGGCCAACAAAACCAAGCTCGTCCCTCAAACAACTTCGTTCAATCTTCAAGAAACAGACACCCACCACCCGATCAAACCCACCAAAGAGCCTGGAGACGGAGGAACAATCAAGCTGCGCATCCTCCGAGGAATCAACTGAGACAAGGTGTCCGGGAAGCCACGGCCTCAAGCCAAGGTGCAGAACAAAGTCGAATGCCGACTCCAGAAACCCGAAGGGAAATTCTCTCCATATCTCCCTTATCGGTTACTCTGCGAGACTGTCAAAGCTCAGTCACTATCATCTCGCCCGTAAGAGAGGTCTTAGCCATAAAAATCTTTCTAACTGCCATAGAATTGCTAAGCCCAGAGGCCCGAGACCATTCGCTGGTACTAAGACCAAGGTTCAGCCGAGAGCTAAGCTTTCCAGACAATATCCACGATGGCAACTCCAGCCACCGTACCAGAGCTCTGAGTCCTCCAGAGCCCATGATGCAGAACCCCTTCCTAGACTCCATGAAGCTTCTCCTATGGAATGTTAGAGGAGCAGGCCACCCGGGGTTCAGGAACCATTTTCTCCAGTTAGTGCAAGAGCACCATCCGGGCATAGCAATCCTGGTGGAGACGAAACTCCACGGTGAGAGAGCCAGAGAAATTTGCAGCAACTTGCCTTTTGACAATTTCACTGTTGTAGATGCAATCGGCTTTCGTGGTGGCATGTGGATACTCTGGAACAAAGCTGAGATCGTTTTGAACCCCATCTCCAATCTCTCTCAAGTGATCCATGCCTCTATCCAGGTAAATCCAAACTCTCCTCCTTGGATTTTAAGTGGTATCTATGCTAGTCCACGTTTTCATGAAAGAACTGTGCTCTGGAATGAACTTTGTAATTTTGCCATGCAACATAACTGTCCCTGGCTCTGGCTAGGAGATTTTAATGAGCTGCTCTCTTCAAATGATAAAAAAGGGGGTCGTCCGGTTAGTAGAGCTAGAGCCTCTGTTTTTAAATCTGTTCTTGACTCTTGTAACATGCTGGACTTGGGATTTTCTGGCCCAAAATACACTTGGCGCTGTTTTAAACAAAATCTAGGCTTTATTTATGAAAGGCTAGACAGGGCCTTCTGTAACCCGGATTGGAAAAACCTTTTTCCCGAAGCTCTAGTCTCTCACCTAACTAGGGTACACTCTGACCATTGTCCCGTCTTAATCAATTTGAACCCTGAATCATCACCTCGCCCTTTTCACTCCTTCAGACTCGAAAAATTCTGGATGGTCCATCCTGATTTTTCCCAAGTGGTTAGAGAATCCTGGGTGGGTCCTCCTACGCCCATTTCAGGCGATCTCTCAGCCCTCTCTTCTATTTTAAAGAACTGGAGCACAAAAAATTTTGACAACATTTTCTGGAAAAAAAAAAACCTCTTAGCTCGTCTCCTAGGGATCCAGAAATCTCTTCAATCCCACTCCTCAACCTTCCTTGTTAACCTGGAGAAAGTTCTCTCCAATCAGTACTTGGAGATCCTTAACCAAGAAAAACTTCTTTGGCTCATGAAAGCAAGGATAGATCATTCCCTGGCAAATGACCTCAATGTTAAATTTCTCCAAACCTCTACGCTGATCAGAAGAAGGAGAAACAAGATTCTTTCTCTCAAAACCAGTGATAATACTTGGCTATTGAATCCCCAGGATATCCAAAACTATATCTTCTCCTTTTTTACAAACATTTTCACTTCCTCAAAATCACACTCGCCTCTGCATCCAGAGCCTTTCCCCTTCCCAGGCCCCGTACTGTCCCACGAACTCAAATCTTCCATCAGTAATGTTCCAACTGAACTAGAAATCAAGCAAGCCGTTTTTGATATGAAACCTTTCAAGAGTCCTGGACCAGATGGCTTTCACCCTTTTTTCTTCCAAAAATGCTGGACCACCCTTGCCCCCTCCATCACCAAGTTTATCCTTGATGCTTTTGCTCTAAATCCAATTCCTCCAGGAGTGAATGACACGCATATTTGTCTCATACCTAAAACAGATCAGCCGAATACCTTAAACCAATTTCGACCCATAGGACTATGCAACTCTAGCTACAAGATTCTAGCTAAGGTTCTAGTCAACAAGATTAGACCCGCGCTTGCTTCTATCATTTCCCCCTTTCAAACAAGCTTCATTCCTTCAAGAAGTGGGACAGACAATGTGATTCTAGTTCAAGAAGCTATTCATAGAATCAAGAGGAAGAAAGGTAAGAGGGGGGTTTGTGCTATTAAACTAGACCTTCACAAAGCCTATGATCACCTGGAATGGGATTTTATTAAGCAAGTCCTTCATTTCTTTGAATTCCCCACATCCACTATATCCCTCATTATGCATTGCATTTCTTCAACCAGATTTGCCATTCTTCACAATGGCGCTCCTTCCCCTTACTTTGTACCTTCTAAAGGCATCCGTCAAGGTGACCCCCTCTCCCCCTATATCTTTATTCTTTGCATGGAATATCTTTCCCTCTTCATCAATCAGGAAGTCGAAGACAAACGGTGGAAACCCCTGCAGTTTGGTAGAACTAGTCACTCCTTATCCCACTGCCTTTTCGCAGATGACATAATTCTTTTCTCTAACACAGACGTACAATCCATCAATTCTGTAAAGAATGTGCTAGACCAATTTTTTTCCATTTCTGGTCTCCAAACCAATCTCTTCAAATCTAAAGTCCTTTTCTCTCCCAACACTGACCCCCTCACCAAAGCCACCATTTCCAATGTCCTTGGTATTAGCTCCACAAATGACTTAGGCAAATACCTGGGGTTTCCCATCACACTTAGCAAATCACCCACCAAGTCCTTCCAGTTCTTACTCGAAAAAGTGCAAAAAAAATTGCAAGGATGGAAAGCTAGTCTTCTATCTTTAGCAGGAAGGAAAGCCATCCTCCAACAGTGCATTTCCTCCATCCCATCTTATTTCTTTCAGGCGGCATCTATCCCAAAAAATATTTGCCAAGCCATCGATAGGGAGCAACGTAATTTTCTGTGGGGATCTACCTCAGACAAGAGGAAAGTTCACCTTCTAAATTGGGACACTATTACCCTCAAGAAATCCCAAGGGGGATTGGGTCTAAGGCAAACTTTGCTCCTTAACAAGGCTGGCCTGTCAAAAATGGGGTGGCATTTATTAAAAGGTTTTTCCAAACCCTGGGTTAACATTCTTTCGGATCTCTACCTTGACAGAACCCAATCTCTGGCCCAAAATAGGCTTCTCTTGACTACCTCTAAAGGTTCTATCAACCTCAGAAACCTTAAAGAAGGAAAAGACATCATTGAACGGGGGTTGGGATGGAATGTTGGCAATGGACTTTCTCTAAAAGTCTGGACTAGTAACTGGTTCACAACTTCTAGCCTTAGATCCCTCATTCAGGGACCCCTACACAGTTATGAAGAAGATCTTAGAGTGGCTGACCTCTTTGACTCCAATGGAGGATGGAGTTTACATCTCTTGTCCTTTTGCCTTCCACATGAAATCTCTAGTTTAATACTTTCCACACCTAGATCCCATCATGTGGTCTCAGAAGACTGTCTCAAATGGAGTCCCTCCATTGACGGCAACTTCCAACTAAAATCAGCCTATGAGCTAGCCTCCAATGCCAAAGAAAATGCTCCACTTCCCCCTGCTATCTCTTTTAACTGGATTTGGTCTCTCAAAGTCCCAAACAGAATTAGGTTCTTCATCTGGTTAGTGAATCATAATAGACTAGCCACCAGACAACTTCTCCATCAAAGGAATATTCTTCCGGACAACACCTGTCAACTTTGCTCCTTGCACTGTGAAGACACAGACCATACCCTTAGGAAGTGTAATTCAGCAGTGCACTTCTGGACAGGTCTTAAACCACCATGGCTCCACAATATAAACCATCTCCCTTTCATAGGCTGGCTCAAAAAAATCTGCACTGACCCTTCCCCATCCCCTTTTCTCTCTATTCCTTGGGGAGTCTTATGCACTTTTGCTCTTTGGGTTATTTGGAATACTCGCAACAAAAAAATTTTTGAACCTCACAAATTAGTCTCAAATCCAGTGAAGTGGTGTATAGACCTGGCTGTCGAATTCACGACTCTAGGCCCACAATCTCAATCCATTCCCTATAAGAAATCCCAAGTGCTGGTAAGATGGATTCCTCCACCTTGTGGATGGATTAAACTCAACTCTGACGGCTCTGCCCTTAACAATCCCGGGATTGCAGGTGCTGGGGGGATCTTTCGTGACTCCTCTGGCTGTTGGATTAAGGGTTACAGCAGAAACTTAGGCATAGCGTCTAACATCCTAGCTGAACTATGGGGAGTTAGAGATGGACTCCAACTGGCTATTGCGCTAAAAATCCCCTGCTTAGAAGTTGAAGTTGATTGTGCTGATATGATTTCTCTCCTTAATTCTACTGTGAATCCTGATCATCTTTTCCATCCAATTATCATGGACTGCAGATGCCTGCTTTCGCAGCTCCAGCATGTTAAACTCAGGCATGTTTACCGTGAGGCCAACAGATGTGCAGATGTCTTAGCGAAATTGGGCAGCAAGCTGAATCAAAATTTTATGATTTTTGAATCATGTCCTCGAGAACTCCTTTTTGCTTTTGATGAGGACACCAGGGGCATCTGTTATCCCCGTAGCATTAGGACAGTTCTGTAATAGCCAGGGGAACTTTTGATTGCTTTTATTTATATTACGCCGTTTACACCAAAAAAAAAAATGGATGTGGACTATGGACCATTTTGATCCTTCAAAATTCCCAATTCCAAATCTACTAAATTGGACAGATTTCAATATAACTTTGCTGATTTTTCATCAACTCCCTTTAATCAATCAAGACCCTAGGAGACTAAATTGTTCTAACCCATTAATGCTATTGATAGGGGACTAAAATGATTATAATTCCATTACAAACTTTTGCCCTCTCACTGGTTCGAGATTACAGTGACTGGTCTAATTATCAGCAGTAAATATTGGTGCAAAAATCCACCAATTATATCTGCTTAACTCCTCTTGCATTCAAATGCATTGATGGCAAAATAACCAAACAACAAACTGAAACATGCAAGATAGAAGCTTACAGAAAAATAAAAAAAAGGAAGGGAAAAAAATGACAGAAAAAGGAAAGCTTAAACTGCCAATTAAAAAGAAATGCAACTTACAGCACAGCCATAGGTGAAAAAACAGCAGAGAACAATAAAGCTGCTGCAAACTACTGCAAATGTGACCTTAGGAGAGGAACCCTTTTCAGCATTAACACCATTTTGGGAGCTACAGTCCGGAAGTACCCTTTCTGCATCCATGATTTCTTCTGCTTGTTCTGAAGGGTCACTTTTTTTTTTTTTTTTTGTCAAAACTGTTCTGAAGGGTCACTTGAATCAAGACAAAAAGAAGCTTTCAAGATTTGAAGCAATTGAGTGGTCACCGTTGCAGGTACAATATATTGCTCAACTACTTCTGCATAATGCTTCATTGGAGTTTCAAATTTGGGCAAATATAAGTAGGGAAGAGACTGGTTTTGTTGTGGATTTCACGTCTTTTTCCTTTCAGGCGTAACATGAATATGATTGTGACTCGATGCATAAACGTCTGACAAACCTTTTGTCATGCACCTTGACATTCTTGAAATTGGACCCAACAAACTACTGCCATAATTACTACTGCCATAATTACTTAAAGTTATTTTCATTTTGGTCCTTTGAAGTATTCTAAATTCTCTATTTAGTTCTTTGAACTGGAAAGTGTCCGTACGATACTCTAAAGTAACAAAGCATCTCAATTTTTTCCTTCAAATTGAAAAAGCCTCTCATTTTGGTCACACAAAGTAGTCCAATGTATTGAGAAATTCTCAATTTGGAGAAAGTTGCGAGGTTGATCCTTTCAACTTATTTCAGTAGAAGCAATACCAATTGGTTTATTCTAGGATGATTTAAACTATAAAAGGAGAAAAATAAGTGAACTCATTTTAGTTGTTTTACAAAAAGTATTTGTCCCTTGACCGTTTGAATGACAAAGTTGTGACATTTTGCTACTTACTTACTTTATGACATTTTGCTACTTACTTTTCTTATTTCAATATAGAGTCATATTGAGGTTTCATCAATGTAGAACAAAATAACTTATCTCAACAAACGAGGCACTTTTTTTTCCCTAATTGAAGTAAATAAAGTAAGAAAAGTTTTAGAAAGTAAAAGAGTCATGTTAGTTTTTTGTCTTCAATAGTTTGATTGTTTCATATATATTAAGTTTTATAGATTAAGTTAGGAAAACCAAGTTGAAATTATTTTATCGACTTGGATGAGCAAATTGAGAGTTTGGTTTTCATTTGAGGAACTAAAGTTTAGACTTTTGTGCTACTTTGAAGGATTAAAATGATACTTTCTTATTTTGAGGGATCAAATTGAGATGTTTTGTAAAAATCAAATTGGGACTTTTTTAAGTTTAAAGACCCAAAACAAGATTTAGATCATTTTAGTTCCTTATCTTTAGAGTTTTGACTAATGTAGTCCTTTATTTATTATTGTGACCATTGTGATCCCTTATCTTTACTATAAAAAGTTAATTTAGACCTTCTAACAGAAAATTAAAATTTCTAGCGGAGTTAGCCCTGTATGCATGCAGTAAGTGTACAATTAAAAATGATAATTTTGCTTCATTATCATGAGAGTCACGTCTAATTTTATCCCTTACATGTCACCGGATATCAATTAGCATGTGTGTGTGCTTTTAAGGACAAAATTGAACACAACTTTGAAGATATGGACCAAAATGTTCACTTTTTAACAAAGCAAACGCATTGTATGTGGCTAATAGTATTAGAAATTTTTAATTTTTTGCTAGAGATCCTAAATTGAATTTTTTTTTGTTGGCAAAAATAAGGGACTAAAATGGTGGTAGTGATAGATGAGGGATAAATTGGCTAAGACCCTAAAGATGAGGGACTAAAATAGACATTTTCCCTTATAATTTTGTTTAACAACGTCCAACCAGCACTAATTAAGAGGAATTTATCCTTCAAGTATTAGTATCTCGAAAAGATAAAAAGTTAAATCTCTAATTACATAAAGCGTGGAAGGTCTTGCTACAGTGATTTCCGCCGGTTATTTTGTAATTCCGCTGTTCATTTTGTCCTTCTTTGTCCTCTGGTCCAATATGTACTCCTTTGTCCACCGTCAATGTCCTCTGGTCCAATATGTAGTCGTCAAGCTTCACTTACAAGTTAATTGTCTCCTTTTGCTGTTGTACCCATATTCCATTTTCTCGTTAATTAACTTTGGAAGTATCGTATGCTAAAGAACTTTATTTATTATTATTATTATTATTAACTTTGGAAGTATTGTATATAAAGAACTTTATATAAAGTGGGAATGCCAGTTGAATTGTTGCTGGTCTTTCGTCCTCCTACTCGTGTGCAAATCACATGGCCATGCAAATCCTGTTGCTGGTCCTAAGTGGGTTGCTGCCTTTTTGCTCCTCTGCCATAGTGCACTGTCATTTTTCACATCCCCTGCACCATCTATCTTCTATTTTTTTCCCCTTAATTCAGATTGGTCACTATCCATTATTTGCATCTTTTTTATATACCCATACTGTTTTTTTTTCCGCTCCTTCTTTGTTTTTATATTATATTATATACCTATCTTCTATTTAGCCTATATTTTTTATATTAGTTATAAATTCTTTCGTATATATTATTTTGCTATTCAGTATTTGCTTCTTTTTTATATAGTACCCATGCTTTTTTTTTTCCTCTCCTTCTTTAAAATAAATCTTTAGTATATTTTTAATATACTATTTTTTTCTTTATCCCGTATTTAATATTATTTATTCCATTGTGGGTACTGCCTGACTATCTTTTCCCCTTTTGCATAATATTTTTTGCTTTATTTTCGTTTTCCAGTTTTTTATATATTTTCTTATATGATATATATCTTATCTATATTGTAATGAAAGTATTCTTAATCATAATAATAATAGTACTTATTATTATAAGGCTAATACTAATGATAGATTAGTATAATATCTTATCTATATTGTGATGAAAATATTATTAATCATAATAATAATAGTACTTATTATTATAAGCCTAATACTAATGATAGATTAGTATAATGAAAACAAAACATTAATAATCGAGCCAATATAAGTAGACGCCTTGCCCGTTTCTTCTATTGGTCGGCGGAGTCACCTCTCAGCATACACAGCCTACAATCCATTAATTTTTGGCATCTCCATGCAAGATTTGCACCTCTCTAGACGTGCTTTCTCGGGTTCTCATGCATGCAAGAGAATCCAGGTAATCATTTGAGTTTCTTTCCCTTGCATTTCAGCCTGCTTTCCTTCTTCTTTTGCTTCGTTTTATGCATTGCCTCCGCTTCTTCTTCCTCGAGCTTTTCCTTTCCTCTGTTTCCTTGTGCGTCTTTCTTCAATCAGTGTTATTTTTGTTTTCCTGCTGTTTGTTATTACATCTACTGTAAGTGTTGCTCCAATTTCGCTATCCCTATTCTAGTAATACTCTTTTTGTATTTTTTCCTCATATTCTTCTACTTATCATGCTTACTGCTTTGTTCTACCTGACGATACTATTATTATTCATCCTGCATTTTTAATTGTTTTACGATTCTGTTTGTTCTATCGTTTTCATTTTCATTCCATTGTTGTCTCTTGTTGCTTTAGTTTTCATTTTTACTTTCACTTCTACCCAATTTTTTTGTTGCCTCTGTTCCTTTTTGTCGCCTTTCATGCTGAACATTGCCTCTGTTCTATATGTTTCGTATGCTTTCTTTGTCATCTTCGTTTTCATGCTTTTATTGTTTCTACACTTCGTAGTTTTCTGACATTTATTATTATTTTTCCTGGCCGTCTTGATTTCCTGCAGGTTCTGCTAACTAAAAGTTGCTACTTATTTTCCTTACTTCAGCAAAAGGTGCTTAACGCTTTTTTATTGTAATTGAGGCGTTATGTCAACTGATCCATTGAACTCTGTTCTTCTCCTTTTATCAAACAATGATTAGCTACTTTGTTCTTCATTTTATGTATATGCCACGTTATCTTCTTCTGCTTTTACTTCCTGTCTAATGTCCCTACTTTGCGGTTGGAAATGCTTGTGAGCCGTTTATGTAGTTCTCTCACAAGTCTCGTATCATACCATATCATGGATAGAAATGCAAAACGCCGGAAACGTTATGCCGAGATGGCCCGAGAAAGGAAGGAAGAACTTTTTCTATACGTGTTGTGTAAATATATCAATTGTAATTAATGTTCTTTAATTCTATTAATCACAGCAAATTATTTTGCCTACAAACAGTTATCTGTTCGCTTTATTTGGCTACAAATTTTTTTTTTATCTGTTTCACTAAGGGTGGGACAAATAATTAAGTTTATTATATTCTACCTTAATTATCTCCTGTTTTGTTAATGCCAAATTCTCCATACCGTTAATTTATAATTGCAATCCGCTGCTTACCAAATTTCATGGTACATGGTAAAAAAATAATTTCTACTAACCTTTGGATTCTTGATTCGGATGGCGGTGTCATTTGAAGTAATAGTTAGTTTATCCTTTTTTCCATCTTTATAATTATCTCCCCTACACCACATAATTTATACACATCATACTGCAAATATCAATTATACTACTTTATTAAATTCATACACTATAATGCTCAATGTGGGCATTACATCAATTCGGTATATTTCTGCTAGTTATTATATATAAAGTGGGAATGGTACTTCAATTGTTTGCTGGTCTTTCGTCCTCCTCATGCCGAAGTCACGTGGCCCGTGTGTTGGAAATGACATCTTCAATGGGTTGTTGCCTTTTGCTCCTTCGTCATCAACATGCCCCTGCACCGCACCGCCTATCTTCTAATTTTTTTCCTCCTCTCAATTCAGATTGGTCACTGTCCAGTATTTGCTTCTTTCATCATCATTATCTAGCTGTACAAAATAAGTAGCGGCCTTGCCCATTCTTTCTATTGGTCGGTGGATTCACCTCTCACCCAACACAATCTCCAATTCATTAAAGCCGTCTCCATGCGAGATTTGCATATCTTTAAACATGCTTTCCCGAGTTTTCATGCACCGAATACAAGACAGGTAATCATGTAAATTTCTTTCCCTTGCATTTTAGCTTGCTTTTTTTGTTTTACTTCGTTTTATGTATTGCTTCTGCTTCTTCTTCCTCGAGCTTTTCCTTCCCTCCGTTTCGTTGTGCGTCTTTCTTCATTCACTACTGTTTTTTGCTGTCTGCTATTACATCTATTGTAAGTGATGCTCTATTTTCCCTCCCCCTATTCTTGTAATAGTCTTTATATTTTCTCCCCTTCGATTATTTTGTTTTTCATATTCTTCTACTTCCCATGCTTACTGCTTTTTTTGGCCTGTCACTATTATTAATATTCCTTTTGCATTTTTTTTTTGTTTTATGATTCTCTTTGTTCTATCATTTTTCATTCTTATTGCACTGTTGTCTCTTATTGTTTGAAGTTCGATTTTTTACTTTCCTTTTGCCCAATTTTTTTGTTGCCTCCGTTGTTTTTGTCAGCTTTCCTGCTGAAACATTGCTTTTGCTTTTGTTAGACTTTTTTTCTCCTGTTTTTTCTCCTGCGCTTGTATGCTTCGCGTGCTTTCTTGATCATATTCATTTATTTAATGCTATTGTTTCTACGCTTTACAGTTTAGTGGCATTTATTGCTATTCTTTTTTTTTTTTTGTATTTATTCCTATCTGACAATGACATTTTCCTATTATCCATTTTTGCATGGCCCTCTTAATTTCCTCTAGGTTTTGCTGGCTACGAGCTGCTACTTATTTTTTTTGCTGCCGCAAAAGGTACTTGCTTTTTCTTTTTATTGGAATTGAAGCATTATCTTTAATAGGTCATTCATCGTTGTTCTTCTTCTTTGATCGAACACTTATTAGCTACTTTTTTCTCCATTTTTGGTATATACCCTTTGCAGTTTAGTGACATTTATTGCTGTTCTTCTTTTTTTTTTTTTTTTTTTTATATTCCTATCTGAAAATGACATTTTCCTATTATCCATTTTTTCATGGCCCTCTTAATTTTCTCCAGGTTTTGCTTGCTATGGTCTGCTGCTTATTTTTCTTGCTGCAGCAAAAGGTACTTAATTTTTTATATTGGAATTGAAACATAATCTTTAATAGTTCATTCATCTCTGTTCTTCTCCCTTGATCAAACAATTATTAGCTACTTTGTTCTCCATTTTATGTATGGGACGCATTATCTTCTTCTGTTTTTACTTCCCGTCTAATAGTTTTTTCTTGTTTTATTTCTCACCTTCGTACACTTAAACTTTTTTTGTATGAAATATAGGACAAAGAATGTTGTGCCGGAAAGTAGCATCAGCAATGAAACCAAATTTCATTCAAGACATCTCTGATGGGCTATCATTCTATGAGATCTTCACTCAACAAAACCAGCGTAATTTTGTGAGCTTTGGCTATATCCTGTTTTATTTTATCATTCATTACTTTCTTTCCCACTAATAATTTTTTTTGTCGATGAACAACAGAAAGTGCCCGAGTTTGTATCCTCCTTCATGCATGGTGACAAAACTCCTCTGATCACCCTGAGAATTGTAAATACGACAGTCACTCTTGGAATGCGTCAGAGACAGTTTACAAATAATTGGAATACGTTTAAGTTTGAGCATCAACTACAATTTAGCGATACTTTAGTATTTATCCCTGAATCAAAGTCCTGCAATACTGTCCTAATCTTCAACAAACATGGAGTCGAAAAACTATTCCCTTGGTACAATAAGTTCTACATCTTCTCTGATACACCAACCGGTAGAACTTAGACCTTTCTTTTAAATTTATTCTGCAAGAAACGGGTTGTTCTTCTTATATGTTCAATAAACATATGAATGTCAGTTTCTATTGTCCATTCTTTTTCCATATCAATTTAACTTAGCAATTTATGGACAACATGCTGCAGAATTATTTTCAACCATTCAGGACTGTGCTTGATTTTTTGTAAAAAGCTTTGAATAAATCTACAACTTCAACTCTCAACGCTTCATTATTCTCATATAATATGCAATTTTACGAGGCTTAACATCTTATCTTTAAACTTGTGCCTTTTATTAAGAATGGTATACTTAATATGACTATGATACAATTCAAATATATTGTAGCATAAACCAAGAAAGCTATCAAACAAAAAAATGCGTTAATAAAAAAATTAAGCTAAGCTATTCCAATAGATGCACAATTACATGACACACACCAAAACATGAAATACATTAAAATCAACATGCATCAAAAATTTCCTCAAGTTTGACAGCCATTCCATGGCAGGACTATTTTCGTCAATTAACCTATTTTGTTTGATTTCATTTCATCGTTTCTCTGTCAAGCAGTAAATAAAGGGTCAGCGTAGCTTTCGTGCATTTCCATACATGTTGACCAAATTGGTAACTAATAGTGTTAGGAGTCCAGCCTATGCAATTTTGTGACTTTGAAACGTGACCTTTATTACTGTAATATCATATCCAAACTCAAAAATTTTTTCACCTGTAGAAAGCCAAATAATGTGTAAATATATTAATTGTAATAAATGTTCTTTAATTCTATTAATTACACCAAATTATTTTGCCTCCAATGTTCTCCATATCGTTAGTTTATAATTGCAATTCGCTGGTTACCAAATTTCATTGTGGGCATTACATAAATTCTTCATCGTGCGCAAGCACGGTATATTTCTGCTAGTCTTATTCTGACGGTCTTTAGCTATCATCTCCCTAATTATTCCATTTTCTTTTGTTTTCTTTGTTTGTTGCAGCTGTTCAGCTCCTACATTCCATTTCCTAATAATTATTGTTTCCTTGGTTTTCTTTGTTGCGGCTCGAAAATATATATCAAAATATATGTATCCACAAAAATATTTATTTTCGGAAAATTATATATATGTATATATATGGACACAAATTTTGTGTGTATCTAATAAATACAAATCAATTGTGCCACTTTGTATTAGCTTGCATTAATACGACTAATTGTTTTGAAAAATACAGGATAATTTCCCTCTATTTGCAAGATGTTATTTTTTTGGTTTTCTTTGTTGCAGCTCGAAAATATATATCAAAATATATGTATCGATAAAAATATTTATTTTCAAAAAATTATATATATGTAGATATATATATATATCAACACAAATTTTGTGTGTATCTAATAAATATAAATCAATTGTGCCACATTGTATTAGCTTGCATTAATACGACTGATTGTTTTGAAAAATACAGGATAATTTCCCTCTATTTCCAAGATGTTAGTTCGATGACATTTCAAAAATTGGAAAATATATCACTGAAAACCAAAATCAAAAGGTTTGAAACTATAACAAAGATAACCACACTACAAGAAAATTGTTCATCAGTGACAACACAAAGTCATCACAAAACATACAAATATCGTCACAAATACCTTTTATTGACGACTTTTTAATCGTCACAAAGTCGTCACTAAATCCCCGTCGGTAAAAGTAAACAGTGACGACCTAAAATGTCGTCACTAAATAGTTCTCATTAGTGACGACTTTAAGTAGAGCATTTTTGACAAAAGATCAAGTCGTCAATAAAACACTTCCAGATTGTCGTCACTAATGACAACTATTTAGTGACGACCTAAAATGTCGTCACTAAATAGTTGTCATTAGTGACAACAATCCGGAAGTATTTTATTGACGAATTGACCTTTTGTCAAAAATGCTCTACTTAAGGTCGTCACTAAAAAGCACCGAAAGCCATTGTATATAACTATTTTACTGACAACAATTGTCGTCACAAATTTAGCTTAGATTTAGTGACAGTCTCTGTTGTGACAAGGAGTTTTTATTTTCTATTTTATGACAACTTTTTTTTGTCATTAGATAATTTCTCAATAGCTTAATAGTCATAATTTGGCCTGTAATCATTGCTAAATCATTGATTTTAAACAAACCATACAAATAAACATGAACGATTGATAACCAAAAGTATTTGCATTAGATTACATGGTAATAATATAGCATTCTCAAATGCCAAATTCAAGTGTACATTACCCAACTAATGCCTACAAAAATAACATTTGTCCAAAATATCACTTGTACATAAGGTACATTTACAAAAGCAATCACAGTTTAAGAAATTGAAGAACATTTAAATGAACCACTCCATGAGCAAAAGGCAATTTTGTCTTCAACATTCTTCAACCATAACCATAGATATCTTCCAAAAGCTAGTATGAATAGCATTTATCTGTCATAAAAGAGTAAAAGAAGTAGGTAAGGGGAGGAGTACAATAATAAAGAACAAGTAATGAGACTTAGATTATTAAGACAAAAATTACAATTCATTAAGAACCTCATATAATTTGGGCCCACATATTACAACACCAGCAAGAAGTTAGAAATCACAGTCCAATCTATACAAATACTAGGGTCTGCTTCCCACGCAAGGCGTGGGAGCTTGAGACCTGTTAGTAAGGTTCCCTCCCACGCAAAAGCAGTATATATTAGTTGATAAGAGCAGTTAAGTATTGATTGAAAATATCCTTGGTTAACACGCAAAAGCAATATACATTATTAGATTATAAGAGCAGCTATGTACTGATACAAAAAATGGAGTAACGGCAGTTGATTCTGTAGTGAATATTTTCTCCTGAATGATAGCCTTTGGCTAACATTTTCTATTGAATAATAACTACAGTAGCGCGACACGTTAAAAGGCATAAATCAATATATCATGATGCATGCTTTATAGAGGGTTATAGAAACCTAAAAAGCAAAGGATAGCAATAAAGAATAATTAGGTTCTGTCTTCTTTAAAAATTGTTAAATCAATATAACTAAGGCTTTTGCTAAATTTTTACCACATCTTGACATCATCTCTCTTCTAATATACCACAGTACAGATTATCCAAATGTGAATGTTGAAGATCTTGCAATTCTTCGAAACTAATATTTGTTGCACTTAGTAAAATGCTACCAAAATCCTGCAACACAGCTCTTGAAAGAGGGGAAAGAGAAGAAACAAAGTCCGCCTGATATTTGAAGTTAACCAGAAGTTGTAGCGTCAAAGCCCAAAGTGCCCTCAGAAATGTTTATGTGATACCCATTGAAGCAAACCATTATAACAGCAAGGTAATTAAAGCAAAGTCCATGTCCCATGGAATGAATTAAAAAGAACTAAAAGAAAGACACTTACCATGTCATCCTTCGCAAGGAATGCAGTTCCGATGAAGTATACGCAACAAATCAAAGCAGCAGTGACAAAGAGGCTGCATAAATATGATCTAGCTTTTGGATCTGGCATGAGTGAAACCTGAAAAGGCAACAAATTAACTATCAGTACCCTAGAGACAGAAAGGTATCATTTCCATTTAGAGTTAATAAGAAGGTATCGAATTGTAACATCATATACAATTTCTTCAGCTATAACAAAAGTTATCATTGTCAACCCTCCCAAGTAAACTTCAGAGAGTCCAAAAAACCACTCTGGCTCCAAAATTGTTAAGGCCAATAAAAAGTTTCTGAAATCCTCAAAGATAAAGGGGACCATCAAACAAGCATTCAGAAAATGACAATTTTACAATATACTTACAGATGTAGCAATACGTCCCACATTACCAAAGGCAGCATGGCCAATATCCGGGTAAGTCTCGAGCCCAGGTTGACTGTCCAAACAGGAATGCAGGAGAATCCCAGTGTAGTAAGAAACAACAGCAAAGATAAACAGAATTGAGAGCCCAACCCATCAACCTTCTTTGACAGCACAAGTAGTTGAAAGAATTCCAACACCACAAAGAACATTTATGCCTGTGAAAAGTAAATGTACATAATTTTTATGTGTCTTCATTCACCATGAGCACATTAGCAGCTAAATGCAAAGGCAAAATCAGAATTGTCAAGGCCTTCAAACGGTTCTAGATGTTTCATGATAGTTTCTGATTTGATATTTTATTTCATTTTGCAAGGAACTGCAAGGACGAACTTCCTTACATCAGTGAAAAGGGAAAAGGATCAAATGTATAGGTAGAATATATATCTACAGATAGAAGAAAAGGATTTAGAATATTATGCAAGCCATCAAAGTTCTCAGTGAGTGAATAGATTATAGCAAATTTAGGCTTTTCTTTTTAATTTACAGTAAAGCGAGCAAGTTCATATTCCTACATCTAGAAGTTGAATAAGGATAGATTACTGAAGTACGAATCATCAACATTCACGTCAACATACAAGTTAATTATGCAGTTCCTCTGATAAATGCTTCTTTAATATTCCTGCATTTCTATGTAGATTGATGGATGTTCAATCAAATAAACCTACCATTCACCACAGCTTGTCCATATGAACTCTGGCTAGGAAGAGAAACCTCATGTGAGACCTTGGATGATTTCTTGTCAGCAGTTGCTTTTCTTAAGGAAGGCCTCCCTTGAATGGAGGGCAGCAGAGAATGTGAACTACACCTTTCTGGTGGCCGACGTGCATCTGCTACTGGTGGTAATAGAGGTTTTGCGAAGAAGGGAGTACTTCAGGAGTGTATCTTCTTGTTAATGAATAAGAGATACATGAGTTGCCTAAACATGATAACGTAGGCGTCCCCAGGAAGTTAAGACTTGGAGATGGTACACTACTGTATAAATCGATGGACTGCCTGATACAAGGATATGAGATACCAAGCATTATCAACCAGAGTTTGAACACAGTCCAAGTGAGATGACTAATGTAACCATTTCTCAAATATATAATCCAGTTATGCAAGTTTAAAACAAATTAACAAAGAACCATTGGAATTGATTCTAAATCTTAAAAGCTAAGAGCGAAATTATTTGCAGCTGGTAGAATTGCACATAAATAGCTGGTACCATATAAATATAACAGCTTTCAAGAAACCAAGTGCTTCACTGCTAAATACAAGAATCTGCACAACAAGTTGTCACTGATGACCAATTTTCTTGTAGTGCCAAACAACCACAAATTTACATACAAATACTTAAAACAGTATCCTTATATATATAGCAAACATATACATGATACAACTAAAAAAAACAATATCATATTGACACATGAATCACAGGACAAATAGGAATACCACAAATATTAAAAAGCATATATATATATATATATATGCACACATATTACAAAATATATCGCATGCCTATATCTATGTATTAATACAAGATTCGCTACAGCTTTGAGTACAATAAAATAAGTCGCATAAACATCAAACAATAAATGTTGAAAAATTCTTCTGTAAATTGCAGTGGTTAAACTCTATAATTTTCACGTACAATCATTTCAATTTCTTATAAAAAAATTTATATGCATCACCTCACTTTCAATAATATCCATTTAGTACTAAACTATTAATATAAAATCTTTCAACTCTCAAAAATAATATTATCCTTTACCTATTCAGGTTCTATTAATTAAAAAAATACAGCTTCCATTTATTGCAGTCACATTTATTCATAACTTAATCAATATCATCTTTACTTACAGAAAAAAACCTACTTAATCAATAAACAAATATTTTACCAAGCTATAGTGTCAAATTATTCCAAATTATTCATCTATCTCATTGCACAACACCCAAACTATATCAAAATTGACCCAAAAAAATCTATTATCCATTGATTTTTCAACAAACTTCCCATTCTCTTATATCTTTTCCATAGACTTTTTCACTGCAACAATGCACACTTTCTCATCCTACCTATCTAAATTATGAAAATATCATCGTCCTAAAATACATAAACTACCAATGCCCAAGATACCAAAATTATAACACTCTCAATGTAATTCTTCACCTATTTTTCCATCCAATCAACTTAAAAAAATTAATATATATCTCATTAATTTAAAAACTATTTATTTATCACTAAATAAAAATAAAAAACAAAATTTTTTAAAACCAATATTATCCATCAAATCTTTTGATCATATTAATTTTATAAAACACAATACAAATCGCATCAATTTTACTATATTTATTTATAAATAAATCAATCCAATATATCAACTCTCTATCAACTATTCCAACTCCATTATCATACAAAATACTATAAATCTATCTTATTAAAAAAATCTCACATTAGACTAAGACAATCAATAATTTTGTCCTGCTTTGTCCTCTGGTGCAATTCTGCTATGATGCCAACATATCCTGCAATTTTTCTACGATGCCACCACATGCTCTCAAATTTTACATGGTGCTTCCCTGGTGGTTAAATGTAACGTGGCGCAAAATTTATGTTACGTGGTTAAAAATTAGAAGTTACACCTGTTGTTACAGTTCATGTCATATACTTAAAGAAAGAGATATGCTTGCTTCGTTCAGTTCTTTCACATATTACATATTGTCATAGTGGACTTGCAATCATTAATCAGATTTAATGCATGCACGTGCTTGGTTCTGCCAAAGCACAAACTCTTTGTATAGCTCAAGACTATGTGTTCTATCTACATTTAACCTTTCCACCGTCAGTTTCTTTGGTTTGGTTTTCTTTACCTACGGACTACCAACTATTATAATGCTTTAGAGATCTTTCTCTTTTCTCTTACGCCTTTCTGTTAGCTTTTTATTTTCTGTTGGCTTTTCCTGATCTCTGTTTCGAATTCTTAGCTTCGCACCCGCTTCAATCAGGTATCTCCTTGTTTTTCTTTACTGCATTTCCTGGTCGACCTTTTCCTCTTTTACTCTTAATCAATCTGCAGTTACTTATTTTCTTTCCTTATGATTGAAGTTTTGTTTCTATCATTTTCTCTTCCGTATTAATTACCTGAGAATATCTATTTTTCCCATGATTTTTGCCAAAAAACTTACTACTTCGCACAGAATCATTTTTCTTGTTGCAGCTTTTTAGTTTGCATTGACTCTGAATTTTCTTATGTTAGTTGACTCCATGAATTCTTAGCAAATTTAAAAAATCTCGTCACTTTTTCCATTTTGGTGTATTTTGCTCATGCTCACTGTATGTACTTTTTCCATGATCATACCAGTTCATTTAATACACCCTAGTTTTCCACCATCCTATTCGACGCTTATTGTTCAGGTAAAGCAATCCTTTCTTCACTTAATTGCTTCTCATTTGCTTACTGCTTAGTCTATTCTGCTTCGTTGTGTTTTATCTTGCAAGCCATGTTTGTTATCCTTTTGCCTATTGAATAGTGATCGTCTCTTTCATGCACACTTGTTCTGATTGCTTGGACAAACTTCAGATGATTTGTCATTATTATTGTTGCATATTATAGATAACAGAATTCTTTTGGTTTTAGCTGCAATTCCATATGGGTCGCAAGCGTAAATTTTCATCAGAGGATGAATACTGTTTAGAAAAAAACCGTCCCACAAAGCATCAAAAACTAGACTAACCAGTTTACATTGCAGTTGGATGTAAGACTAAAAACTGTACTTTTTATTTAACAACCAAGGCAGCTCGTTAGAATTTTGTTTTGTAAAAATTGCAACTAACTTTTGTAGCAAGCTGCACTCTTCAGTTAGGATGTATATAAAAAAAAAACGCATGCTTTTAGCTTTCCTATTCATAATCTATTTCCTACACAAACATATTCTTCATAAATAAATCATCAGTTAACACTGTTACACTAGATACAATAGATACCAATTTCACATCCCTCTACATTTACATATACTATCTCATATTTGCTTGCTTAATCTACAGTCACTACTATAATATTCAACAAATCAATAATTCTCTATTTATGATTTCTTCTACTTTATTTTATATTCTTCATCACTCAATAACACCAAATATGGGCACCCCGCGACAAGCGCGGGGTCAAATGCCTAGTATAGCATCTAAAGTGTGGCAATAAATGTGGAAATTCTCAACTCTCAAGCTTTATTTATGCAATTTAAGAGCAAGGGTTCGAAGGTTGACACTTTTATTCATTTTTTTATATGAAAGAATATGCATTAATCTAATTATTTGTCTTTTACAAAACAAGACAACTAAAGGCCTCCTAAGTCATCTTCTAACAATCAGACAGTAGTGAAGCAAATTCATGATGATTAGTATTCTTACAAGAAATATAAATCAATTACAAGATCGGAATCTAGTTCTATTTGCAGTTCGGAGGCATGAAGTGAAGCAAACAACTTATTCATTATTGCTCTCAAGATTCAGGATCTGGCTTCAAGAAGTGACGTACCATGGAAACCTGTAATCCGCACAATAGAAACCAACCACATATGGACCCCGGGGAAGAAAATATCTAACCACCAGCTTTGGGCTGGTGGCCACACCAAAGCATTATTGTCTCGTTAAAAAGTGGCTTTGTTTAAAAAATTCAGGCAGGTAAGTACGGCATCCGTTTGATCCAGTGGTGCTTCAATCCTTTCCGAATTATTCTTGGATCTTCTTAGGTCCGCCTCCTCCCTCTAGTGTAGGATAAATTAGGTTGCACAACAGTTATCATCTCTGAAAAAAAAGGGAAGCAAATATCTAAATCGTGAAGTGGATGCAAAATTTTCCACCCTGTGTACAAGTGTAGGACCTTCTTATCTCTTCAGATTCACATTTATTGAGAAGAGAATGCAATCATTGAGGATATGGATCGTACAAGAAGATTGAAGCCTCAGGTCCTCAACCGCCTAAAAAATATAGTATTTTGTGTTTGCTTTTTCTTTTTTCAACAAATCAATGCAAATTAATGCCTCTGCATTTCAAATCTCTGGTAATTAACGTTGAAACTTAAAGGGCATTTTGAAATTGACGATGAGCTAATATTTCGATTTGGTTTACAATTTGGGAAATGAATTTGTCAAAGATTCTTTTAGCAAAATTTTACCCCTTTTTTTTGTCTTGCATACACCCTTTATAAGTTACAAAAAAATATCTCTTAAATAAAATGCAATCCAAATTAATGGAGCTTATTTAAAAAGGTTCTCCACTATTTGAGAGTTGGAAATGATCGAAAGCGTTATTTCAAGATATGCCACAATCAAGCTATATTCTCACTTATGTTGACACTAGAATTATACGCATGTAACAAAATCGTTGGAAATTACATATCTAACTTAGGTAGTTTCTCTGGAGGTAGATATTATTAGAGGTAGAAAAACCTACACTATTCTTTTTTTTTCTACTTTTAATAATTATTTTGTATTTTGAGTTTCTGTTTTCGATGAATTTCTCGAACTCTCTTGGGCATTTTTTACGGGTAGGTTATCGATTACTGATTGGTACTTTAATTTTTGTTCGACTGATTTTTAAAACCTTTTTCTGTCGCTGTTGGTAATGGTAATAGTACTCCTCGCTGCCTTGGATATTATAATGTTGCCTTCAGATATTATCATCATTCTTAGACAATGTGCTATTCTTTTACAAATTACAAGTTCAATGCTAGTAGAATGTGTAAAATTCCATTTTTTCTGCATTATATGCATTATAACGACCTTGGCTGCCAAAAATTTTTCATTTGATTGGTAAGCGCAGATTACGTATTCACAAAAAGTCTATGTGTTTAAATCCTATTATCAATGTGACGATTATGTTAGTGGATAATCTGTAAATACCGTTATAAGTGATCCATGATTCTGGTGACGTGTTTCAATTTTGAATCTTGCTTCGAAAACATATGCTCACAAAGGTCTATATGTTTAAATCCAATTCTGATGCCAATATGTCTTGACTTCGAACCCTGCTGCCAAAGACATATTTTCACAAAAGGTCTATGACCTTTTTTGTCTAACTTCTAATTGGAATTCAATTAGAAAAAAAAAGGAAAATTCTCAACAGGCTAAAGGGAATTCAATCATCGCTTCAAAGTCATCACTCAACCTTTCTGGACCAGCTGGAAATTTCTCTTCAAGCTGAATAT